GATTCATGCAGCCTTCGTTTCACTGCGCTCTTCATTCGTGGGTCTTGATCCTCGGGCTTACGATTTCGCAGTGTTTCTCAGGAGGTGTGTTGTCGTCACGTCATAGGCCAATAGCCATTACCAACTCCAGTGGCATGGTTGATCTCCGAGGTCTACGACAGACTGTATCAGATATCGGGACCCAAAACTCCACTCCGAACCGTCGCAGTCCAGTTTGAGTTCAACCTTTTCTCAGCAGCCATCAGTGCTCACGACACTTTTCTCTGAAAATCCCTTTAAAGAGACACTGCTATCAAGCAGAGCCCACCGTGTCGCCACTGTTTCTCTCACGGAGCCTGATCCGGGCAACCTCTTCTCTATTCATGTAAGTTCATGTCGCTACCCTTCGCTTGATTTTGAGACAAGAAAAAGAAAAAAAGAGCCCAAAACGTGCCCCTCCGCCACTGCCGTTATCATCAGACCTGTTGGTACGGTTCGCAACCCGAGATACCATGGTCATTGTCAGCCGCTGTTACTGTTATGCAAATATCTTCAATCACAAATTACCGCATGATTAGCATTTTCCCGCGCGAAGAAAAAACGTGCATCCATCTTTCCAATCACAATGTTTTAACCCCGGAGCATTGCTAGCTTCTGTTATACTATCTTAAAACCCCTCGTTGGGCGAAATATTACAGAGGGGGTCAATTATGGCGTGCTGACAGTTCACTAGTTCCTCGAAACGGGGAGTGACCACAACTTATCCCCGCAGGTTCGCAGGGTCGGCTTTCAACATGTCACCAAGCCATAAGGGTCACTTCAAGCTCCTCCAGAGGTTCAAGCCGGACTACTCGCCCAGCGAGTTTGTTCAGTATGAGTCGACGAGGACTGGCATGAGGGTCGTGGTCATCGACCAGAAGGGTCCTAAGGTCACAGGATATTTTGTCCTAGCTACTGAGATCCACGATGACTCAGGAGCTCCCCACACGTTGGAGCACTTGTGCTTCATGGGGTCGCGGAATTACAGATATAAAGGATTCCTAGACAAACTCGCAACACGAGTGTACTCTAGCACTAATGCATGGACTGCCACTGACCACACGGCTTACACGCTGGACACAGCGGGCTGGGAGGGTTTCGCTCAGATCTTACCCGTGTACCTAGAGCATGTAATCGCCCCGACCTTGACTGATGAAGGGTGCTATACTGAGGTCCACCACATCGATGGGGCTGGAAACGATGCAGGCGTGGTCTACTCAGAGATGCAAGGAGTACAAAACAACTCCGCCGAATTGATCGACTTGACTGCCCGTCGGTTGACTTACCCGGAAGGTGTAGGTTTCCGTTATGAGACTGGTGGTATGATGGAGCAGCTTCGTGTTCTCACTGCGGAGCGTATCCGAGCATTCCATCGTGAGATTTATCAACCAAAGAACCTGTGTCTGATCATCACGGGTGAGGTAGATCATGAGAACATGCTGAGTGTTTTGGACAAGTTTGAAGATACCATTCTAGATGTCATCCCTAGCCCAGATGCGCCGTTCACCCGCCCTTGGGTGGATTCTAAGCAGGCACCTCCGTTGGAGAAGTCCACCGTACAGAGGGTTGAATTTCCGGAAGAAGACGAGTCTTTTGGAGAGATTGAGATCAGGTTTCTTGGTCCTGATTGCATAGACCCCGTTAACAGTAAGTCAAGGCTCATTCTGCAGTGGAAAGACCGAATACTTACGATCGATAGCTGGGGCTGTCAACGTTGCCCTGTTGTATCTGGCTGGATCGTCTGCTTCGCTGCTAGACAACATTTTGGTGGAGAAGGAGCAGCTCGCCAGCGCAGTCTATTATGCCACCGAGGACCACCCCAGTATCGAAATCCGTTTCACTTTGACTAGTGTTGAAACGAAGAAGATTGCTAGGGTGGAGCAGCGTTTCTTCGAGGTTCTCAAGGATGCAATGGAGAAAGAACTTGATATGAAATATCTTAGGGAATGCATCGACCGACAACGGCGGACTTGGAAGTTTTCGACAGAGACGTCAGCTTCCTCCTTCGCTGAGTATGTGATCTCTGACTTCCTCTTTGGAAAACGGGACGGGTCCACCATGCTCGATGTCGCGAGCCTGAAGGAGTACGACGTGCTGGAGAAGTGGAGCGAGGAAGATTGGCGCAGCTTCATCAAGAGATGGATTTCTGACGCCAATCACGTCACAATCTTGGGTGTTCCATCCTTGAAGATGTCTGAGACTCTCAAAAAGGAGGAAGAAGCCCGGGTTGCGGAGCAGAAGAAACGGCTGGGTGAGGATGGTTTGAAGAAGCTCGCAGACAAGCTTGAAAAAGCCAAGGCCGAGAACGACAAAGAAATCCCTAAAGAAATGTTGGAGAAGTTCCAGATTCCTGGCGTCGAATCTATCCATTTCGTCGAAACGACAACTGCGCGGTCGGGCACTGCTCTGAAACTGGGTCGTCCCGAAAACAAGCCTCAGAGCCTAGTGGATGCTGATGGCTCAGACCTGCCTTTGTTCATACACTTTGAGCACATCCCAAGCAGCTTCGTTCAACTCTCTCTCCTTATCTCCGCCGCAGTCGTTCCAGTGCAACTTCGCCCTCTACTATCTGTGTACACGGAAGCGTTCTTCAACCTGCCGATCCAGCGTGATGGCAAGACCATCGACTTTGAACAGGTCGTTGTTGAATTGGAAAGAGATACGGTTGGTTACTCTATGGAAGGCGCCCGAAGCCTGGGAACTTCCGAAATGCTGCGGATCTCCTTCCAGGTGGAGCTGGAGAAGTACAGCACCGCAATCGCATGGCTTCAGGAGCTTTCTTGGAACTCGATTTTCGACGTTGAGAGACTGCGCGCTATTACTAAACGCCTTCTCTCTGACGTCCCAGACTCCAAGCGAAGCGGCGACGACATGCTGGCGGCAGTGCATGTCATGGTTCACTACGCGGCCGAATCTATCGTGCGTGCCCGCAGCACTTTGGTCAAGGCCCGCTATCTGAAGCGGATCAAGAAGCAATTGGCTGACGAGCCGGAAACCGTCGTTGCACGCATGGAGGAGATTCGCCAAGCTCTCTTCCGGTTCGAGAACATGCGGGTTGTGGTTATTGCAGATCTCGAAAAATTGCAGAACCCGGTCTCGGCTTGGAAGCCGTATGCTGAACGGCTGGGAGCGGTTGCCCCCCTTCGACCCATCACAGCCAGACGTCCCTTACTCAGTGAGGCTGGTCAGCACCTCGGCGGCAAGTCGTATGTGGTGCCTATGCCGACCATCGATTCCTCCTTTGCTTACGCCACTGCGCGAGGCTTGGACACCTACGACGACCCGAACCTGCCTGCCCTGCTGGTCGCGATTGCGTACATGAACGCCGTCGAAGGTCCTCTCTGGGTTGCCGTCCGTGGCAAGGGTCTGGCCTACGGCACGAATTTCGCCTACAACATCGACACCGGATTCGTCAACTTCGATGTGTACCGGTCGCCCAACGCCCACAAGGCCTTCGACTCCAGCAAGCAGATTGTCGAAGACCACCTTTCTGGTGCCATTGCGTTCGATCCCTTGATGATGGAGGGTGCGATCAGCAGCATCGTGGTGAGCTTCGCCAACGAACAGGCCACCATTGCCAACGCCGCCTCAGACAGCTTCATTCGCCAGGTGGTCCGTCGCCTGCCCAGTGACTACAAGGAGAACATGCTCAAGCAGGTGCGCGCCATTACCGTTGAGGAGGTCAAGGGTGCTCTGAGAAAGATCATCCTGCCCTTGTTCAACCCTACGACGGCCAACATCGTCATCACGTGCGCTACTGTAATGGAGGAAGTATGTCAACCCCAATCCCCCACCCCCCCCTTCAAAACTCTTGGGATGACTCCTGACTGACTCATCGATCCAGACAATCAAAGAAGGCCTACAAGCCTCCGGCTTCACACCCAAGGTACAGGCCCTCAAGGAATTCGAGGACGACTACGGACTCAAGACCGGTGATGACAACGATGACGAGGAGGAGGGAGAGGACGACGAGGATTCCGACGATGATGATGATGACGACTCGGAATCCGGCTCCGAAGACGAGGGCTCCGATGAGGAAGAATCCGGCTACGAGGATGACGATGAAGAGTGATCTTTCTCGTCTTGGTAGGAGCCTTATGAAACCGAATGAACCACACGGTATACTACAGTATCACAGTACCTGAACGTCTAGACGATACACGGCAATAAACCAGAAGCTAGAAAGCAGTCTTGTCAAGCCATGAAACGAGCATGATTATCTCTTTTTAGAGAAATACATACAGTTATATTTGTAAATAACTTTCTTCAAAATTAGAGGGCTGAACAGGCTATCCCCACGCTGGAGACCCTGCATTGTTTGGTCGGTGCCGCCGAAGAACAACAGGCCGTATCATCTTAAACTGCCATTCCCCTACCATCCAACCAACAAGCTACACGTAAGAGCCAAGACAGTCTGCCAGCCCTCAACAACCGTCTGCACGAAACCTCCGGGTCCAATCGCACAGGTAAAAATCCATGCCAAAGATGTATGTATGTATATGGTACAAAATAGGAAATATAAAAGAAACAAGGTGGTAGAATACAACCATCATATCTCAATCTGGATCATCAGCCACCCACCGACACAACCGATGCCCTCACCTGACCACAGCTGAGCACCGCAGTTAACATACTCCTGTTTAAGATGAAGCACGAAACCGCATGCCCAACTGAGATCTTCCACCTCCGGTCCAACCCATGTATCTTATCGAAGACCCCATATACCCTCTAGTAACAAGAGCCCCAGAGAAATCCAATGCGAGTAACCTTCAAAGAAATATGCAGCACACCGAACACAACAAAAAAGATAAAACAGAAGAACGGATAACCCCCCTCCCCCGAAGCTTTCAGCGAGATACACAGCCCATTGGTGCAGAAAGGTCACTCGAGACGGAATCAACCAAGCCCCGCCGTCTCCCTTAGGGTAGGGTAGACCCTCAAGGTAGGGTAGAGGTACTAAAGCGACAGAGAAACCGCAGAATCTACCAACTCAAGTTCTTCCGGCCGCGGGCCTTTCTCCGCTGAATGATCTTCCGTCCAGTCCGGGTCTTGACCCGGGACAGGAACCCGTGGCGCCGCTTCTGCACCCGTCGCGAGGGGTTGTAGGTTGACCGCTTTCCGAGCAGGCAGGCGCTGGCGGAGAAGGATCGGGATTGTTGCAGAGAGGCTGTGGTGGGAGATGTGGAGGGGAAGAAGGCGGAGGTCGATGAGAGGATGGCGGTGGAGGGGGTTCGTTGTTGGTGGGAGAGCTGTGCGCGAAGAGGAGAGAAAGCGGAGGAGGAGGTGATGAGGGTGCGGATTGAGGTGGTGGTGGTGGTGGTGGTGGTTCTTGCTGTTGATGCGCGGGCAGCGGCGGCGGCGGGTGCGGAGAAGGGGATTCTGGAATTCACGACGGGGTTAGCCTTTGGATATTCGGGTAGTCGCGAAGAGGTGGTGCGCTATGTTCGGTGGGTTTGCGTTTTCTTTCGGCTTGACTTTCCAGGCTTGAATTTCGAGGATTGGGGGAGGGAAAGGGGGGCAGGTTGGCGATATATTGGCGGAAACTAGGTGGTGGTGGTGGTGGATTTGAAAGGGCATCCATCGCAAGCAACCACGTACCTGGTGGCCGCGGTCATGGAGGACCGGAGAGTGGCGGGCACGGCCCGGCACTGGAAGCAGATCATAGCGTCCGACTGCACTGATAGAATTGAGGCCAAGAGGACGGCAATCAAGCAAACAACCGGGTCACCGACAGGAGGATCTCAAGTGTGGAGGGAGGGAGAGTTGAGTTGGGTGAGTTGAGTGAGCGTGCGTGAGTGAGTGACGGAGGACGAAAATTGAACACCAACAACGCACGGACCACCTGCGACCTTTGACACCAACAACTTTTTTTCTGCCCGCCCGAGGTCTGTCGCCGCAATCTCCATTTCTCTAGATTCCCCATTTGGTCTACACAGACAATTCTACACGCATACACACCAATCACTTCCAGGCGCAAGCTCTGTCGCATATCTGGATCATTCGAGAAATACAGACCAATCTTTATCGCCCGCCATTGACGACTTTCTATACCCTACACCGGGCGGATAAAAAAAACTACATAAAGTTGCACACGACCACTGAACACTTCGCAACGAAAGCAAACTTCTCTCGCGACTATCACAATGGCCGCCCAAGGTCCCTCGGCTCTCCCTCCCACAACCATCATCTCATCCCGACCGATCTCCCAGTCGGCTGCCCACGACTTCCTCGCGGCGTACCTCGACCGTGCTGCGACGGACCCCGCCCTCCAACCCAACGCCGGAATCAGTGAACATGGCCCCTTGTCGCGCACCACGGCCGCCGCCCCCAATCTGATGCTGCACAATCTGAAGCGCGTGCAGGCCGGTCTGGCTGGCGAGGTCCTGGGTCGGGACCTGACCCTGGCAAAGCTCATGGCCGGAGAGGACGGCGATGCGCAGCAGCAGACCACCGAGGCGGAGCAGGGCCAAGATTGGGAAGATGCCCAGAAATTCCAACAAGAGGGTGAGGCCCTGGAGGGCTCGCAGGACCCGCTGGACGCAGATGTCAACATGGAGCAAGATCAAGAGGGACCCGCATCGGGGGCCATCGACAAGGAAGAGAGGAAGCGCCTGAAGAAGGAGCGTAGATTGGCAGAGAAACGGGCCAAGGCCAAGGCCGACACCGATGCCTGAAGACCAGTTGAAGTCTCGCAACAATTTTCCGGTTATTGGTACGGTTGGCCATTCTTTTTCGTTTGGGACTCGCTTTTATCGATTCGGGGTTCAACTTAGATATGCATACAGCATTGGGCGCATTCAAGGCGAATATACATAGGAGGTTGCCATTGGTTTGTTTTCTTACTTCTTTTGTTAAGTTCTTCGAATTTATTATACCATTCCAACACCAACAAATTGTCAATTACAATCTCATGTATCAAAGTGCTCGACGGCTCCCGTACTCTACGAATGGCAGAACAGGAGGCTCAACACCCCCAAAGATCTTGACTTGAAGTACTTGAAGTGAAGGGCCTCACAGCTCACGATCCGCAGCCTTGACCGGTTTCTCGCTGTCTTCCTCCTTGAGGTTGGTGACCTTTCCGCCCTTCCAGCCAAGCGCCTTGAGGCGTTCCGAAAGAATAGGATGAGAGTAGTGGTAGCTTGCGTACATCCAGTCAGCATCCATGGTGCTGAGGTTCTGGATCTGGAGCTTGAGAAGAGACTGTGCTAGTTCCTCAGAGTATCCGAGTCCAACAGCGAAGGCGTCTGTGATTCGTCAGTTTCAGTCAACATGTAGCCAAAGTGGACAACGTGAGGGATGAGCACGTACCGGCCTCAAACTCGAACTTGCGGCTGAGAATGTTCATCAACAGCTTGACGACGGCGTCCATGGGAGCGAGGGCGTCGGAGAACAAGAGGAATCCGATCATAATGGGCTGCTGGCTGTGGAAGCCAAATGACTGGTACAGGGACTTATTGTTCACGAAAGCAGAAAAGAGCGCGAAGATGTAGAACATGTGGAACTGTTATCCTGAGGTTAGCTCATCTCTTATAACAGTTCGGGAAACCAGGAATTCGCGGAACGCACCTGGGCGATACCGAACAGCTTCGTAGTGTGGCTAAGGCTCCAGTGGCCGAGTTCATGACTGAGCACCGCGACCACCTCTTCAGGCTCGCTCTTCTCGATCAAAGTATCATAAATGACGATGTGCTTCTTCCAGGGAAGTCCGTAGAAGTAGGCGTTGCTGTGAGCACTGCGCTTGCTGCCGTCAATGACATGCAGCTCCTTCAGAGGGAATTCGAGCTTCTTGGCAAGGTTCTCAACACCCGTCTTTATCTGGCCGGGCTCTAGGGGCGACAGCTTGTTGAACAGAGGAAGGATAACGATGGGGTAGATTGTAATGGCAAAAACCTGAATGAAGATACCGAAGATCCAGAGGTAGTAGAAGAATGAGTTGCCAGTCTTCTGAATGATCTTTAGAACAGCACTGATGATCGGAGTTCCCAGCACGATACCCAGCATTTGACCCTTGAGCATGTCCGTGACCCAGAGCTTGACGGTCTGCTTATTGAAACCAAACTTCTCCTCAAGAACGAACGTATTGTAGTACGAAACCGGGATAGAGAGAACCGTGCTGATCAAGTTGAAACCGAAGAGAAAGAGGAGTGTCTGTGCAATTTCACTCTGGAACCGAGCTGGAAGATACCGTGCCAACAAGAGACCACTAACACCCCAAAGCTTGGGCAGGACATCGCCGTAGATGAACGCGAGATTCTGAATTTGACTGTAAAGACCTGCAAAGAAACCGAACTTGGCTTTGGCGCGACCATAAGCCTACCGAAAGAGATGGCGCTCGTCAGTAAACTCTCAAGTCGAGGGAGGCAGAACGCATGTATACCTGACTCTGATCATAAACCTTCTGCGACACCTCGCCCTCCAAGACCTGGGGAGGCTTCGTCCGCTGCAAGACCTTGTACTGACGGAAAGACAAGAGTCCTTCTAGCACAAACTGTCCCAGAGAGAACCCCACGAGGACATTTTTCCATGGAAAGAATGGGCGGTCGAGCAGACGCGCCAGTTGCTATTCGGGACACGGTAAGCCGCGTTAGCTCACGCTTCTTTCAATTGACAAGGCGAACGATAGAAATAATAGTCTCGGAACAGCAGTCCTTACCTCGAGAATATACATGGTAGCGTCCGCAGCACAGCAAGAATCCGAGATAGAACCTGCTGCGAAGTGGGCTGTTTCCTCGGACTATGAGGTGATGAGGTGAAGGACACCGCGGAGGGGGGGGGACGTGATGGTGTAAGAAGTACTCCGTAGCTGGCGACCTGGTGGTAGTTGGTTGCCTTGCAGCCTTAAACAACCGCGGATGTGTTTCATTGCCTCTTAAGTTACGAGTAGGTCAACTAAATACATGCATGTAACATTACTGTCACTATTTTGGGGTTCAATAATAAAGAACAAGACAGGTTGTCAACAAGGACAATGAGTAAGCGATAGGGTCTCTCTCTCCCTGGTGAGTAACCATAACCTAACCTAACAAAAATTGAAATAGATTCCAACATACATTCAGTTTCACCAAATTCGACCGAGCCCAGACTATGAGAACAATATGCACAATAATATCATTAAGCAAAGTTCTTAACTTTTGTTTCGTTGCATTCATCATCCCCCTAGACAGCATCTACAAAAAAAGAGGCCATGTATCTTGGACCGAAACCAATAAGAATGAACAGAAAAAAGAAGATGAAGAAAATGACTTCCACAGGATAGCGTCATAACACACGTCAAAAGAAGTAGCCTTCGCGCACCAACTCCAGCCATGCTACTTCAGCCTCCAATCTGCCTATCCATCCTACTGCATGCATGGCCTCTTTGTCTCTGCAAACCTCTGGATGGGCCGGCGGGAGTTTGGAAAAGTCTCCCCCGTGCTCCCCAGCAGGTGAGATAGGCGAAGATTGGACTTACTGCGTTCTCTATTCAGGGAATCAGCCCGACACGCGCTTTCATTACCGTAAACCCTTCTATTTCAGAGTAGACCCAGTCCATCAAGGCTAGTTATCAACTAGACTACAATGTCTTCATCAACCATTTTCCTGGCTGGACCAAGTTGGAACTCTTCAAGCTACCAATAGCTTGTTTTAGTTCGAGACAGGCTCGAGAGTGTTACCGCTGATTCAAAGTTAGTCGGGTTTCATCATGACTCGTACTCTGAGGAGTTGTGAGCGCGCGGCGAGAAGGGAAAACTTACGCGACAATGTTGGCCCATCCAATCAAACGCCAGTGCTTCTCAATTCTGCGGCTGATGGCGATCTTCTCGCCAATCTCAGTACAGGCAGGGCTGGTCAAGCTGAGCTTAGCGGCATCGGCCTTCACACCGATGACCTTGGCACCAGTGGCCGTGGAACCGATGTTAACCATGAGAACCTCGTTCTTGGTCAACTTGGCAACCTTAGCTTGCTTGCCATCGGCGGTCTTAACACCCAACAAACGACGGAGCAAGAAATAGTTAACCTCCAACTCGGTGTAAATGGCAGGAAGGCGTCCACGGTGACCCAGAACGAAACCGACGAGACGATCAGCACGGCACAGAGTAGGGTCGACACGGGTACCGACACCGATCAAACCACCAGGCACGGCAAACTTAAGGTCGTTGTGCTCGGCGAAGAGGGACATAACCCGGGAGAAGATAGGCCGGCACTGGATCTTGCCGTTCTCGTCCTTGGTAACGAGACCAGGACGAATCTCGATTTCGTCGTTCAGTTTCAACACACCAGTGAGGATCGAACCACCAGCAACACCACCCTTCAACTCCTCAATCTCAGCACCGGGCTTGTTCACATCGAAGGATCGAATGACGATCATGTGAGGGGAAGCGGTGAAGTCACGGACAGGGACCGGGATGTGCGAAACCAGGTACTCGTTAACGGCGTCAATGTTGTACTTCAGCTGTGCGGAAATGGGAATAATGGGAGATCCATCGGCGACGGTACCGCGGATGAACTTCAGAATGGACTGGTAGTGTTGCAGAGCTCCATCTTCTCTCATGAGATCCACCTTATTTTGCAGGATGATGATATGGCTGAGCTTCATGATCTCAATAGCTGCCAAGTGCTCCGAAGTCTGAGGCTGAGGGCAAGTTTCGTTTCCGGCGATCAAGAGGAGGGCAGCGTCCATGACAGCGGCACCTGAAAGCATAGTACTCATCAGAATATCGTGACCGGGGCAGTCAACGAACCTACAGTAGAGAGGGTCATCCGTTAGCGGCGGGGCTTGTTGGATCCAGGGGACAGGGTGAAAGAAACATACGAAACGTGTCTCAATAGTCTGTAGCGACCGGAACATCCATCTCTCTCACAAGGCGGGTCGATTTCCTTCTCGCTCTTGAAACTCTTGAAGCAAGTCGGTCTGGGACACTCGGGGTTGTCGCACTTGTAGATCTTGGCGTTGGCATAACCCAGCTTGATGGTGATGTTTCGCTCCAATTCGTTCTTGAAACGGACAGTCTGAACCTCGGAGATGGCCTTGACAACCGTCGACTTTCCGTGAGCGACGTGACCGATGGTACCGATGTTGATCGTGGCCTGGCGCGCAATGATTTCGGGCGTCAGAGGGGTGAGTGTGGACAGGTCGAGAGTCTCTGGGTTGGGCTGCTCGGGCAGCTCTGGCCGCTTAGGCTGGGGGAGGGAGGGCACTCCAGAGTTCTTCATCGCAGACTTCAAGGGCTTCTCCTCAAGGTCGAGGGGCTCCTGATCTTCGATGTCATCGTGACCGTTCGCATCGAGCATGGGGGATCCAGGCTGGGATTCATCGTCTGTGTAATCGCCGTTGGTAGCCATGATTGCGGTGTTAACCAGGAGACGACAACGGAGTAGGTAGGAAAAGGTGGGTTGACGAGGGGGGTGGGTAGGAGGGGCGAATATCCAGGGTCGTCTGGTCGGATGAAAATTGCTGCTTGGAAACGGAGAGGCGATATGATACGGTTTGAGCCAGTGGGGTTCGGGTTTGTGCAGTGGAGAGCGAGTGGGCGGTGGGCAGCGGCAGGATTTACTACAGTGCTCGTATTTGACCAGTTGACCGGCGGGGGGTTGATTGTTGACTCATCGCACAAGAACAATAACTAACTAACTAGTTAGCTACTACTCACAGTAGTATCGGGCACTAAAACCATTACAATGAGAAGGCAGGATTCATAACACTTATGCCTGGGTTTTCTATACATGAACAATACCATGCAAAAAACATAACATCATTATCTCACGGCTGCAATCCAACAATCCACACTACTTCTCTTCCTAACAACGACAGAGGGGTATATAGGTTTGAATTCCGATGCTACTCATCATCGCTGGCTTCGCTATCAGATTCCTCCTCGCTAACTTCTTCAGCATCCTCGGATTCCTCGTCATCAAACTCGAGGTCGGACGAGTCCTCCGCCGTCAACATCACGAATGCTTTCAAGCAAGTGACCCGGTTCCCCGTAGCGTAAGTGTTCAACAGTCGGCCAACCTGGTTAACTTCAGAAGCCTTCTCATCTTTAGAATCGGAATTCTTCTTCTTGTCGCCCTTCTTCTTCTTTGCTACTAGTTCATTGCCACGCAGCAGCCATACGCGGATCAGGCCTTCGCTATTGGCGGTAACAACCAAGTAGTCGCCCTTGTTGGGCCCTGGCTGATCCTTCAGGCTGAGGACCTCGAAGTCCTTGACTCTGCCGGGAAATCCATGTGCCCTACCGCCGAGCTGGGCGATGACCTTAGCAAATGGAATAGGAGACTCATTCCCCTCCGGTGCGCTCTCGACTTGTTTGGTGGAATAAAAGATGACTCTGCCGTCTTCAGTCGAGACAGCAAGCAGTTCATCACTATCCTCGGAAGAGGGGTCGGAGCTGACGTATGTCATCTGGTGAATCTTACTGCGAGGGTTGGGGAACACTCTGCAGATGGGAGTCGAGTCCTGCCAGGGTTAATCAGTTTTGATGCCAACAAACAAACAAGAGCACAGTTGTCGACTTACGATGCCAAAGACGACTGCGCCCCATTCGAAGGCCACAGCAAATTCGTCTCCCTTGGAGTTCCAGACAATTCGCCTTCCTTCACCGGTGCTGTATTTGCCTTCCTTGACGCTTTGTAGAATCTCCCGGTTGAAGCTCAAGACTCCAGCTTTCTTGCCAGTTACTAAGTTCCACAACCTCATGCATTTCTCTCCCTTGCCAACACTTAGCATAAGCTTCATACTAGGATGCACGGCGAAGTCGTTGATTCCAGAAGGAGAGCCACCGGGAGGAGCTGTGTCACCGCTTGGGCGGCCCTGCACTTTAGGGTGCGGAGCTTTGATGGTCGAAACGACGGTAAAGTCACGAGTTTTGGTGACGGAGATGGTGTTATCTTCGGCTGCGACCAAGATCTTTGAGCGTGAGGGGAAGCAAAGGGCTGAGATAGGAGCAGAGTGATGCATCAATGAACCCAATTCGCGGTTCTTGGGATTTTCGAGAATTTTGTTACCGGCAAGAGTCGGAACAGTTGGATAATCTTCATTGACAGCCACCGGAGCAGCAGATAATGAGTAGAGGTTGACACGCTCATCAGTAGCGCCAGTCGCCAGGATCACTTGGGGGGCTTCGTTGGAATCTGCCTTGGGCAACGGGGACAGTGCGAGGCATCGAATTGCGGAGGCGTGAGCCTCGAAGAGAAAGTTGTCCACAAATTGGACCAATTCAGAGTCGTTAGAGGTTTCAGAGGCAGTATCGGTGGGTTTCACAAAGGCTTCGGGAGAAACAGCAGCAGTGAAGCCATGCAACACCCGTTCGTATGAGCCGGTGACAATCTGCAGAGTGATCGCCGGGAAGTCGGTAGCGGTGGCCGCAGGAGTCTCTTGGCTGGTGGTTGACTTGGCGACCTTAGTTGCCTGCTTGAGGCTCTGACGGTCTTTTGCCGTTTCTTCTCTCTTGCGCTTGACCATAATGACTGATGGCTAATGTATTAACTTGGAATGAGAAAACGTGGGAAGATTTGGATGGAATATCTGAACGCGATCAGAACGTGGGCAACTTTTTTTTCTGCCAGGCGTTATCAGCGGTGAACTTGGGCGGTGAATCTAGATTGGTCCACGCCGCCATGGTCTGATGTTTAGATGTCTTTTGTCTCCTCCTTCTCAGACTCTCGTTATCGGTTTGAATGTCTCGAATATGGAGCCGTCTTCGGTATTCCAGATCTCGTCTACATGTCTATGACTGATCCTCCAGTATGACGTTCCAGGTTGATCATCAATATACAGATTCTGAGCTATAGATCTAGAATATGAAAGCCGAGTACAATCCAACTGATAGTCATACACTGTTCGATCTCATCTTTGTTCGACCCTTATTAGGTGACACAATGGCAGCAACCCAAAAGAGCCCAGAAGGTTTATTTATTGCATACAGAAAGACCTATATGTATTGCAGGGTCTTGCGCGGCAGCGTGTCTTATGTCCTGCTCCAGTATGTCATGTTTGATTTGACTTAGAAGACATTTATACCTGCCACGTCCGGGATCAATCTATACCCATTGGCGGGGTTTGACATGTTACTGGCTCGTTGGCATTGACTTAATGTGTATTCATAAAGCATCGACAAGATACTGGTAGATGTAAAGGTACATCACCGTCTTCTATAGTATATATTGAGCGCATGGATTCCTGAACGTTCGTCTTTATGTTGAGCTGTGCTTCAAATGCCTTGCCTTCGGGTCACCATAAGCCAACATGGACAGGAGAATTCGCAAGAGCCCAATATCATCCTTCTTTATTATTTCAGTGTCTGACTCCAAGCCGGCCACTCGCCAGTCAGTGTCAATGATACTGTTTGCCCAGAAGTCGTAATCTGTGTGGAATCCACCTTGACCTTTGTTAATGGGCCTCCTTCGACTTGGAAGGCCGTCATTTTACCATCGAGATATGAGGTATGGAGAACGAGTAATCCGTAGGCCTTTGGCTCTAGTGGTTTAACTATGGAGAGTACTACATCCTCAGGTCCTGATATTGCTTATGAGCCGCTCTATAGTAGTTATCTGAGCAGTAGCATTTGACGAATAGGCACATGTTAAGGTACCGGTAGATGTGCGTAATGCCTTAACATGCATGGGGTAATAGCATTTACTCAATGATTGTGCAGATAAGGAGATGACTACTAACTTCACTACTCGAAAACAAACACAGTCCCAATGCATCAGCCATAAACGATGATCTATATCGGGTATTCCAGAGTATCAGTTACATTTATAGACCAAGCACCGACAAAAGCACCATAAGGTGTTAGGACCCTCTGCACAGCTGTCCAGTCTGGTAAGTTGAATGAATTGCTCTTCTATAGTTACCATATTCTTGAACACCGCAGCCCCGAAGAAGGGATGTTGCGGTGGTTGCCCTAATATACTATACTGCTGCTGCCTATGCAATAGATTCACATCAATAGGAGCTCACAGGCATACCAGTTATCATAGAGAAAATTATATTTATATCTATTGCTACTCCCAAATACAATAAAATGCAGTTCCTCGATAAATTATGAAAGCGAAAGCAACCACGCCCGTGGAAGTAAACAGACCTACATTGAAGAGTACTAGTCCGGTCGGAATTGGACAGTGTGACTGAAGAAGGCAAAGCTCGTGATTAACCTGGTTAACTACGGTACCTAGTAAGTTAGTTAACTTACAGCACATTAGTAAGGGGTTTTAATGACCACAGCTTCAGAGGCAACTACCACGCACCACTATGTCCATTCCGTCGTCACCCAGAGTAACTGTGTATGGTAAAATACCCGTAATTTATCTGTACCTCATGTGAAATCAAATTGAATGTGCTGCTGTTCGCGGCAGTCACCCAGGCTTCCTGCAGTGGTAGTAACCGTCTTTCTACCAGTCCCTTCTCTTCCTTTTCCTCCCCTTCCATACATACCAGAACTGCCTCTGGACACTTCCCTCCTCTCTCCTCCCTCCCCGTACCGTACCCGGCCCAGAAGTCCTCACCACCACCACCTACACTAATACTCACTCTCCCACCATACACCACACCCACCCCCCCCCCCCCCCCCCCCCCCCCCCGACGAAGAACCACAAAAATCCCTTCCGCGGTGAAATCTTCGCGTCGTATCTTTGGCATCATCTCCCCTCACCACAACCACCCTTTTCATCCTTTCTGAGCGATTTTTTCCATCTGGATGACTTCGCTCAATTGGTTTCCCTTAATTTTAGCGCGTTAATCGGATGCTGTGTTCCCCGAAATAGACTCCATGCTCCGTGACGAGCTTCTCCGGTCTAAGAAAGATGAGATCGCGTACGTATTTGATTTTGCCACCATTTATCGCTTGCAAGCAGTCTTTCTATTCCTGCTGGCCCTGCGACTGGGATTTATCGCTTATTTGGAATTTTATAGACGTTGTTTGTCGTCGCGGAAGCGCAAACTGAGCGAGCTCTACTTTGCGACCGTAGGCTTCGCGGGCGCGACCGGGAACGCTCCGGCGGACTCGCTATACCATCACAAGGAACAGGCGTTTCTCGATGCCAACGACCTTACCAGGTAATTTAAATTTTACTCTGCCCTAATGTCACCCAATGCTATTTTCCCCATTGAATTACCTTCCTTTCATGCTCTCCGTTCTATCAGAATTGTCATTTCCCTTCAAGGTAGTCATGAAGGCTCTTGAATGTGCAAATAACTAGGCATGTTGCTGGCAAGACCTACACACTAACCCTCAACAGAGGCCGATACTTTGATGAAACCACTCTTCCACAGCTACCAGACTATGCAGCGATCCTATCGCGGGATGGCAGGAAGTCCACCGCTACAGCAGCGCCCGTGCCACTACCGGCAGTCGCACCTGCTCCACGGACTCACGATGCTACTCTCGACAGTCCGCCACTGACAACAGAGAATGCTGCCGCGCAGATCAAGCCGAAAACAGGAGAGCAACGTCCAATTCCCCAGCAGCTCCCAACACAGAATCTACAGCAACCCGCAGCTGAACCGCCAGCCCCTGCTCAGGTTGCGTCTGATGTCTCTTCCACCAGGCCCCAGAGCCAGGAAGCATCTTCCCAGCCCAGGAAGCTTGCGCCGGCAGTACCAACACCGACAATAGATCAGAAGGCACATACTGCAACGCTAGGACAGCATGCCAGTGGTCAGGATACAGCATTGGCGGCGGCTGAGGTTAGGTTGGACCAGAAGCAACCAAGTCCCGTGCCACCACCTATAACACCTACTGTGGTGCCAGTCCAGAAAAAGAATGATGCACGGCCGTCTCTCTCTTTCGGATCCATCTCCAAAGCTCCGGAGCAGCCCCTCTCACCTGTATCATCAGCCGGCCAATACTCAAACAATACTCCCTTGCCGGTCACCGTGTCGCCAGCTACAAGCCCTGCCGAGGAAGTCAACGACGCTGTTCCGAGACCTGCGAGCACTAAGGATGAAGAAATTACTAAGACTCTTTCCACTCTGGTACCATCAACGCCCGACGAACAACTGCGTTTTGAAGAGGCGCAGTCGCTCAAGCAGACCCTTGCTGCAAGCAAATCCCTCGGCGAGAGTGCGGCCAAAGGCACCACGACGAGCGAAGTCATCGAAGAAAGTGCTGCTCCAACTCCCGTCACTATTGAACAGTCACCAACGGTCGCTCGTATATCACCTCCAACAGTGCCAGCAGAGCTGAAGACATCGCGTGTCGTGGTTGGACATCCTCCCGAGCCTCAGCTTTCTGCTAAAGATCAGGCTCAAGCCGGAGCAGGCGTCAAGACCCCGAAAGAAACGACCCCAGCCAAGAAGCCATCACCACCTGTCAATGCAACACCGACAGTTGAAAGAATGACAACTAGAGTGTCATCTGGAGCCATTCGTCATAAATCTGTATCTGAGATCCTCGGAGAGTCACCTAAGCCATCACCTCAGTCTGATAGGCAAAGTCCAGTTGAGAAACCCACAGATGCGGCAAAGGCCGTAGCTGAGGCGACTCCTGACACCACGGCGAGGATGCGATTCAAAGATCGTAAAGCACGGGAGAAGGAGAGAACTAAGTTGTCTACCGTGGTATTTCCCAAACAGCAGCAGCAGCAACAGTCTCAGGAGAAGAATGATTCGATGGAGATCATCAGGCAGCATGCTGGCGACCTCGGGAAGCTCAATGAAGAGCAAGACTACCTCTTTACTCTGTTTCAAAGTCGAGCCTACACCCCTCCTCGTGGGACAAGTCTCAGCACACTCATCGCTTCTGCTCATAAGACTTTGACGACGTCAAATCACCTGCTTGACTATCAAGAGCAGATGGACTGCCGCACATTGCGTCGGATTTATTCTCTACAGAATGCGAACAGATGGCCCTTGCGTCAGCTGAAGCGTTCGGTTGAACCTCCACGGGAAGGGAGCCATTGGGATGTGTTTCTGAATCATGTGAAGTGGATGCGTACAGATTTTAGAGAGGAGCGAAAATGGAAAATTGCCGCAGCGAAGAGTTGCGCAGACTGGTGTGCAGAATTTGTCAATAGTGATGCAGAGCACCGTTCACTGCTTCGCATCCAGGCAAAGATCCCTCCCGCAAACAAGGCCGACGAAGTTGAGAACAAGTCCAGCTTAATTTCCCCGCCCGAAGAAGACACGGTGGACGAGATGATGATTGTTTCTCAACCTACTCCAGACCTGGTTCCTTCTACTGAAGAAGATTCCGCAAGCGAAGGGTTCAGTGATGAGCCTCGTCTTCTTGTGGGTGATACGGTCGCACCAGCAGCAATCTTCTCCCTAGGTTCAGACGAGTTCACGTTCTCGTTGGACATGACTCCTGCGGCGCAGAAGATTTTGGATGAGCTGCCTATCTATTCTCCCATCACGATCACGCCTGAACTAGACCTACCAGTCTTCAAAGAATCTCCTGACACGGTCTGGAAGACCGAAATTCTTCCTGTTTCTAAGTACGCGCTTGGTAAGGTTACGTTCCACGACGATGAACCTGCTCGAAAGCGTAGTCGCTACGATTATTCCCAGTATCGATCTGATCTCGATACTGGTGCACTGGACCTCCCTCCTGAGCAGACAAATGTCGCGCTCTTCCGCTTGGAGAACAGGCACATCCGCGACAGAATTCACCCCGGCCATTCCTTTAGACCCCCTACCGAGCATCCTATGCCATCCGTCGGTTTCTTCGAGTCAAGACAGTCTTCTCAATGGACTTATACCGAGGACGATGAGCTTCGTCGCCTTGTGAAAGAGTATTCCTACAATTGGTCACTAATTTCCAATTGCCTAACACCGTCCTCCCAATTCACATCAGGGGCGGAAAGACGAACGCCTTGGGAATGCTTCGAGCGTTGGATAGGCTTAGAAGGGTTGCCTGCTGACATGTCTAAAACCCAATACTTCCGTGCCTACCACCAAAGGCTTGAATCAGCACAGCGCACCATTATGGCACAACAACAAGCGGCTCAGCAACAACAACAGCAACAGCAGCAACAGCAGCAGCAGCAGCCACAACAACAACAGCAGCAGCAGCAGCCACAACAGCCGCAACAGTCACAACCGCAACAGCTGCAAGGTAACAACAATAACAGTAACTCGCAGTCACTGCCCCCGATCCGGCGGCGAACTACACAGCCCGTTCGAGTGGATCGGAGACGATCTTCCAAACACCTGGCGTTGCTCGATGCCATGCGCAAACTGGCCAAGAAACGAGAAACCATGCTTCAGAAGCAACAGCACGGTAAGTAATCCAGGGCAAGGTGTCTCTCCTCTTAGCTGAGACTAACCACAACCCTAAGCGTCTCATCTAGCTTCGCTGCGGAAGGTCAACGAGGCCAACCAACCCAAGCCCCCAATCTCATCACCTGCCGAATTTAGCCGACTCAAATATGAGCGTGAGGTGAAGCTTCAGGAGAGACAGGAACAATACCGTCAGCAGATGTTCGCCCAGCAGAAAGTAAGGCCTTGCCAGGAAAGGACCGTTCTCGAATGGTTGGTCGCTAACGTGCCATCAACAGGCTCATCAAGCCGCGGCCCACCAACAGGCAAACTTGGCTGCTCAACGTGCAGGCCAAGCGCCTAATCAGCAGCAGATGATGAACGCTCCTGGGCGAAACCCCAACGGTATGCCACATCCCGGAGCGCCCGCTATGGCAGCTCAGACACCAAATGGAATCCCCAATGGATTGCCAAATGGAATGCCGACGGGGCTGCCACCTGGTGTTGGTCCCAATCAAGCCCGGCCTCATATGCAGGGCATGGCTAGTGGTACACCTGTTAATGGAGCCATGCCACCCAATCCGATTGCGGTGAAGATGATGCAGCAACAGCCCGGTATGCAACACAATGTCGCTGCCCGTCCTGGGATGCCCATGCAGACGCCTCCAGATAATGCCCGAGTCATCAGGGAAGCCAATCGACTCCAAGAACAACAGCGGATGCTACAATCCAGACAACAACCGACGCCGCACCCTCATCAGCAACAAACGCAACCCCAGCAGAGTCAGCAGCAATTTCACAGTCAACAGCAGTTCGTGCCACAGGGCTCACACTCTCCGAACCTCAACCTGCCTAATGTCAATGGCAACCCCAATAATCCAGCCATGATGGCTGCTCTACAGGCCGGAGGCGGAATGCAAAGCCCAAATTTCCACAATACCACCCCACAGGGCGTCTCGACACCATCACCTCGAATGGGTCAGCCTAATTTGCTCTCTGGCGGAGTCATTCCTACAATCAGCAGCTTGCAGAACCAGATCCAACGAAGCAACCCGAACATGCCTCCGGAGCAAGTCAGCAAACTGGCTACAGACCGCTTGCACCAGTTCCAGCAGCAACGCATGTCGCAGGTTGCCATGAATGCCGCAGCTGGAAACATTGGCAGTGTTCAGGCTAACTACCAGGTCTCGCATGACGCCAATTTCCAGTCGCCTCAGGCTGGGATGAGTGGTGGGCCGGGAATGCAAGTACCCCAGGCTCAAGGATATTCGCCGATGATGCGTGTTCCCCAGCCAGCACAACAAAATCGGGTTGCCATGGGGAGCTCTCCGTCCATGAATGGAGCTGTACCTCAGCCAAGCCGCAGTGTAACCCCACAAACCCAGCGCAGTGGGAGCGTTCAGGCTGGTCCAGTGCCAGGCGCAACGAACAAGAGTCCCAACCCTCCTCAAGCACAGACAGCGACTAGCTGAGCCCCTCCGAACGGATTAGACACTTTGACCGACCTCTGATACCTTTTTCCCTACCCTTTCACTGTACATATTCCTTCCCCCACCTTACTACCTTTTATTCCACGCTGTATTTTGCGCCTTGGACCATGCCATGCCTCTTATGACACCAGCTTTCTTGCGGCACATCTCCTACCCAAAGCTCTCTCACTGCCTTTAACCTCGATTCCCAACATCACCCTCTCAGTCTTCAGCTTCCCTTCCCGCGTTTGTTACCCTCTTCTTCTTTTTCTCCCCCCCCCTTCTTTCACCATTTTTGCCGCTGATTTACGGCTTGAGCTCCATTTTTTTCTGGGAAGGATGTCTCTTATCTTTGTTCCGGGGGCCTTACTGCATTATCTAAATTTCTCTGCGCTTTTGTACTACATGTATTGATAGGACGGATACAAAAGGGGGCGGCGAGGATATAACTTGGAAGGCCAATTGGAATGGACGGGCTCAAAAGAAATAATGAACCACGATTGTACGATTACTGCTCAGCTTGTTGATTCCATGAGGTTTAATTTTTCCCTTTTGGGGATTGCTGTAAGATCTGGTCAGGTTCCCTCACAAAGAAGGTCCATGTAAGCGCGCGTCTAGCCCCGAGCCTCCGATTTTGCCACCGCCTCGGCCTTGCATATTACGCAAGTGAGCTTTCCCAACACTAGAACTTGCCCGACAACATATTGAAATCAACTCTCCAGACAATTCCTAGTTCAAACTCTGTAGAGAGCATAGCTAGGTCTTGGTTCAATCCAGCGCCAATTCGCATTCTACCTCAAATGGAGTGAACGGTAGCTCTTGTACCCATCCAAGACACCACGAACACACTGCTACTCAAACACTCACAGCTTCTTTGAACTCTTTGCCCCCTACCAAAAAAGCACGGAGTGTAAAGACAAGCACCATGTCTTCCTCCGATCCCCCGCCAAGCGGCAGCACACCAAAGCCCTTCTCCCTCTCCCTGGGCAAAGAAAGTCCCAACGGCGACAGCGGCAACCCTCCCAAGAAACCGACCACCTTCAACCTCAAATCCACCAAGCCTACCGATCCTTCTTCTTCGTCAAGTACGCGCTCCCTCCCTCTCGCCGCGCGCGGTGGTCGCCCCACACCCCGAAAACTTCACCATGACGACGACTCGGACGACGACGAAGACGCTGCTCCCGCCCATGAGGAAGTCACGGGCTTCGATACGGTCACGGGCGGCGCCATCTCCGCCGCCGACGCGGCCGCCAACCAGCCGCTGGTGATCCCGGTGACGAGTACCAATAATTGGCGGGATCGGCCGGGAATCAGTCGTCGAGCAGCGCCGGCGCAACAGCGGGGTACGAAGAACCTGCTGCCGAAGGAGGTACAGGCTATCCGGGAGGCGCAGAGACGCGGGGAGATCGCCGGGACGACGTTCGAGACGGAGGGGCCGAGCACGGCCTATGGGCTGAGTTTTGCGGCGGCGAAGAAACAGGATCTAGATGGGGACCAGGAAATGGAGGATGTCGGGCCTCAGAAAGCGGCGGATGAGGAGAGGGATAGGGCGGCTCCCATGACGCAGGATGAGATCGCGTTGCAGGCGCTCATCCGGGAGAGCAAAGGCGAGACTGCTGAAGGGGGTCGGTCAGATCTGGTGATTGAGGCTGCTGCTGCTGGTTCTGCTACCGGGGAATTCGGCGAGACGAGTTCGTTCCGCGCGGATATTGCCTCGCGACCCGAGTCGGCGACGCTGGATCAGTATAATGCGATCCCTGTGGAGGAGTTCGGCGCGGCGCTATTGAGGGGAATGGGCTGGAAGGAAGGGCAGGCTGTTGGTAAGGGGAAGTATGGGGGTGCGACGGCGAATCAGGGCAATAAAGCGCGAGTCCCGGAGCGAAGGCCGGGGTTTCTGGGAATCGGAGCCAAGGATGTTTCCGGGGGTAAAGGCGCAGAGGCGGAATTGGGCGCGTGGGGAAAGGCGGCCATGCGCAAAGGGTCGCGCAAGGCCGGCCAGGAAGGGGGGACGAATACGGAGGGTGTCTATATGCCCGTCATGATGCGGAATACGAAGACGGGCGAGTTTATCACCGAGGAGGAACTGTCGACCATGAAGAAGGAGGCGAAGAAACAGACCGATGATGACGAGTGGAAGGCACGGCGAGATCGCAATCTGGAGAGGAGCAGCAGGCGCGATCGGGATGATCGTCCCAGAGAGAGTGATCGCGACTCCCGGCGGAGGGATTACGATGACGGCAGGCGCAAGAATGGGTCGTCGACGAGAGATCGGAGTCGGTCGTCCAGTGATCAGCATTCGAGAAGACGCAGATATGAGGATGACGGCAGTGATAGCCGTGATGATCGCTATTACCGAGAGAGAGACAGAGACAGAAATCGCGACTCTCGCCGGGACCGGGACAGGGACCGCGAAAGAGACCGCGACAGGAGCCACCGATCTCGCGACGACGACTGCTACAGTTCGAGGTACTCCTCGTCGAATACTTCAAGCAGACATCGCGATCGCGATCGAGACCGCGACAGTGACCGCGACTCACATCGGAGACGAAGGTATGACGACCGGTGAAAGGTATTTCAGAGTCGACCTACGTGTATAGTCATGGATATAGCCTCTTCTTCTCTGAAGATGTCGCATTAACACCTAAATGAACATAACTTTTTACACCGCCGATTTTCCCTCCCAAGAAAGATCATTGAGCAAGACAGCAAGGACTCCGCTCATAGCGCCAGTGTATCACAATAATTCCAAAAGCAGATTATCTTTTGTCTATCTATACATGTTTCTCATTCATGACCGGGGGATCCGTGACCCTGTGTTTTCACGACCCCAGCATGACAACATCCTTCTCGGACTCGTTGGAATTCTCCTCCAAGGAGCCGGCGAAGAAGTCGTACGTACTCGCGGCGCCCAATCCACCCAATCCCACGCCGCCATCCATCTCTGCTAGCACCCACTCCACGAGATAGCTCTCGTCGGTGAGCTCCTCAATCCGCCGGTAGTGGCGGTCCGTGTAGGCAGCCAGAGCCTGCAGGATTTCCTTCAACCCTGCACTAGCGCGGCTATCGCTGCGTCGCTTTGCCTTGGCTGATGCAAGCTCAACGAATGTTGAGGCAGGGTAGGACCGGAAAAGAGCGAACAGAATCCGTTGCGCCACTCTAGATGTGCGTGCATTCGTGTTCCAATCACGGACGCGGAGAAGAAGGGTGCGGAGGTTGTCGGGGTCAAGGGTTTGGAGGACCTCGTCAATGGAGGCGTTGCCAGTGAGGCTGTTCTCATTCTGGAGATCCTTTGCCTCGTCTGAGTTCGGGTCATCGGCAGCGTCGATGGCGGAAGTGAAGAGGGAGAGGAGACGACCAGGGTGGTTCAGCTGAAGCGCCAATGTGATGGCTTCGCGATAAGCACCGGCCCGGATGTAGTTCTGTAGCTGCTGATCCTGTTCGATACGAGCCGAGTTGGCATTCACGGCGGCCGTGTAAGTGGCAGAAGTGGTATCGGTCCAGAATGTGACCGTGGAGTCGGCAGAGCCGGAGACAAGACCATAGGGAGAGGAGGTTCTGAATGTGGTAGGGGACGGAACATCTTCGCGGGAGCCGGAGGGAGTCGGGCTGGCAAGCGCCCAGACGCGATCCTCGTGGTTGTCCAGAGTAGTCTCAAGCTCGCCTGAGTAAGGGGACCAGATCTTAACCAAGCCATCGGCCGCAGCCGAGGCCACCAAAGGTCGCAGTTGTGCGGCGGCCGTGTTGGGTGCCAGCGCAGATTCTTCTTCCTCGTCCTCGTTTTCTTCCTGGTGGGACAGATCCGAAGGCGGGAGCCAGATTACCTTAAGCACACTATTCGTGTGGCCTTCGAAGGTGAGGAGACAACTGTAGTCTGCCAGACTCCAGATCTTGATGGTTTTGTCACCCGAGCCTGTGGCGATCAAGCCTCTGTTGGTGCTAGTGCCGCTGTCGGAGTTGAGGATAGGAGTGCCGCGAGGGGCAAACCGCGCCGACCAGACACCTCGCTTGTGTCCGCGCAGGATACCCACCGTGGTGCCATCCTCGGTCGACCAGATCTTAACAGTACGATCCTGGGAGGCAGATGCGAACAGCGTCGCGGAGGGGTTGACATCCAAAGCATTGATATCTTTTTCGTGTGCTTTCCGGGTATACACGGCCTTGGGATGATGGGGCTTGGAAGAGCTCAGCGGAGGCAATTTGCCGATATCCCAGCGCTTGATGGTCCGGTCTTGAGAACCCGTAAGCAAGAAAGCAGGAGGATGGTTCAGAGGATCATTGTAGGCAGGGGTGTTGGCGGGAGGTGGGACTCGGGGGAAACTAATAGCACCCAATGATTCGGCATGACCGGTGAAGACTGCAAAGCACGTATATGACGAAGACTTGGGGTCGAGACGCCAGAGACGTGCGGTGTTATCCTTTGCACCAGTGACCAGCCAGTGACCAGACCAGTCTACATCAAGACAGATGATAATGTCGTCATGGCCCTCGAGATGTGTGATATCAGCACCAAAGTATCCTTCATTATTGGCAGACGGCCTGTCTTCGGATGGCCCAACTGATACGATGCGGATGCTTTCGGTGTTTGTAGCCAGTGCCAGCATCGAACGGTCAGGGCCGACATATGCGAGATCAATAATATCGTCGTCGTTGCCCGAGATGCGCCGGATGATCGGCAAAGGATCGATTGTGGTCCCTGGATTGTAGTTGGACAAGGGCTCCAGAGAGTAAAACCGGATGGTCTGGTCAGCATGAACTGTCAATGCAGATGTCATGCCAGGAGAATATTGAATCGCCACAACGGCCTCATATTCAGAGGCAGGTTCTTGTTCCGCAGTGACCTCGCCTCCACGATTGCAGTCCCACACACGCAAGCGACCATTTTCACCCGCAACCAGACACAAACCACTATCGGCGACAAAGCAGGAGGCCTCCACACTTTCGAGGACCGGAATGATCCTCCGCGTCTTGAAAGTCCGCATGTCCCACACAATCACAGTCTTATCACGGCTAGCCGAAAGCAAGGCATTCTCCGATGGCGAATATGAGAGGCTGCGCACAACCGAAACATGAGACTCGAGCGACGCGATAGGCTTCCTCTTGTTCAAATCCCACACGCAAACCTTACCCTCCTCATCTCCGGAGGCAAGCCGGAAAACTCCCGTTGAATCCTCTGCGGTCTCGTCGTCATCTGAGTCGTTTGATTGATTCTTGTTCTTCCTCTTACTCGAGGACGATTTGTTCGGAAAGTCTGGCGCCTGGAAGAAGCACAGGGCTGAGATGACACCTCCATGGCCATGGAAGGTATGTGTGATAAAACCGCCCCGAATATCCCAGACCTTAATCGAGCCATCTGCGGCGCCAGTCGCCAGTAAGGTACCAGTAGGATCGATTGCAGTCGTCACAACAGGTGCTGTGTGAGGTTTGAGACTTCTGGCTAATTTCGCGTCAATCGTACGTGTGGATTCGTCGAGAGGTGACAGAGAGTAGATTCGCATGGACATGGACCGCGAGCACATAACAACATGTGAGGCCGATGGGGAGACTAAGCACAGTTAGGAAGACCGAACAGTAAATCACTCGAGGCCAGAGGGTTGCATACTAGCTAAGCTTGTGATAATTTCGCCATCCTGAATATGTCCATATAAGCGGCTTGCAAACACAGCGGTGATGTAGAGTACTTACGCCTTCCAGACTAGCGACCTGGTCTCCAGTCTCCAGGTCAATGACGAGAGCATCTTCACTGATGCATGTCACCAGGAAACGGCCACTGGCATCGAGCGCAGTGCTTCCTCCGGTGTAGATAGGACGAAGTGTGCGAGACGCCTCGAAGGTCGTCTTCACCACGGCTTTAGACATGATATGTGAAACTATTCAGCGATTGAAAGCCGAGAATCTATCGCGCCATGCTAGATCCAATAGGATCCACGTCAACAAGATATTCTGCGGTTGCTGGACGCCGCTCAACTCGCCGTCGCACCGGAAACTTCTGATCTTTTTTCGAGATGTTTGCCTTGTTTGTCTTTCTTACCTGCCTGTGGATCCCCGATCCCCGCTAGCCCAAGTTGTAAGCGCTGGAGCCGCACCAACCGCCCACGTGCCTGCCGCTTTCCTTTCTGGGAATGATAGTCATCTTCCGCCCATCGACCAGCATAGTACATCATTCAAGACCATCCAACCGTCCATCATCCTAGTCAAACCAGACGGCACTTGACTTCATTCCGTCTGTAGAGGAATGGCTTCGCGAATCTTTCAGGGCCAACACTAACAAGGTGCTCACGCGATGGGGCGCCGAGCGTACCTGAATCGACTGGCTTTGGTATGCTCCACCTTCTTGTTCCGTTTCCATATACAGTACTCAGAGCTGTAACCCTACATGAGCAGCCTCTATCATGGTTCATTGTTCATCGTGAGAAGTACTCTCATCACTACAATCATGTTCTTGATGCAGAGCAATCACGGTGGCATCATGTGTGATCTCAAACTTAGCCTCTTCCTGCCCTTCAACTGCCTGTCCACACATCTATGTACCCTATGAATTTCTTGCTTGGCGCTCTTATACTTTACACTGGCAATCCCCACATCTCTATCTGAAGCATATTGTTAACACTTCAAATAGGGGCGGTCACCCTACGAGGCTCCTGATCGTTCCACAGGCTCCGCAGCAAACCCTGAACCTGCTCCTCACAGGAGAGTATCGGCTCTGCATGCGGATGACTATGTCCAGCATTATGATGAGAGGGGCCATCCCATTAATCCAGAGTCCAAGTATTTTGGCAGAGAGCTAAGAAGAGCCAAGAATGACGTCCTATCCACGATGGGAATTGTTGTCAGTGAAGAGGGCAACATGGGCGGCCCTACTGAACAACAGAAGATTGACATGATCGCGGCTGAGAATGACTATGGCTTGGTCATGGCTACTCTAGACCAGATCTCGGTCTTTCTTGGCTCCTGGTGGACTTCCTCCTTGATGGGCCGGATACTGGTAACTATCTCTGAACCTGCGACTAGAAGAAATGATGAACAAAATCAACCTAACCACTTAACCAGACCTTCAAAAGTTACACGCATGTTCCCTTGCTCAGTATGATACATCTAGAGCGTACGAAGCACGGCATAATGGGATTTTACTTTGCAGGTATCCCAGCTTGGGCAGTCTCAACATGCTTATCCTTTCTCCGACATCATCCGCTGGATCGCTTGATTGCGGCCTGCCAAGATCTATTCCCGAATGATAACGTGCTGTCAAGGCTTGTACGAGCCACTTTGAACATATTACACTCGGCGTGAGTACTTTGTGCGGTCTGGTCTTTATCACTAGCTAAAAGCGCATGCAGAACTCGAGGAAGCCTACTTGTCCTAGCTATACAAACTTACATGTACTCCCTGTTACAGTCACTTCACCTCGTTCATCCTTACTCTCTAGTAGGGCTAAGGGCTCTTCTGCCTTTCGGTGAACATGCTCCGATGCAACTTCCCATGTTACCAAATGACCTCTCGCCTCGTTCTATGGTCGGGTTCTTGACAAATATCCTAAAAACACCCTCACTTCTTGTTTACATATATGTGTACCTACGCCCAGTCGTCGAGATCAGGCTCTATCGCCTGGTTCGACGAAGGCTGCCGAAGCCCGTCTATGCAGACGATCTTTCGGTCAAAGTGGCCTACGATAATGACCTTATTGACTGGATGATGCCAGCTCTTGGTCGTCGAGCCGATGAAGAGAATCGTCGCAGCAACCTTACATTCATGGAAGACTTGGCCTACGAAGCCAACTTCTTTCGCACGTGGATTCTATCTTGGTTTGGCTTTAAGACACAACTGATAGGGTCAAGCCCGGAACATACGTCAGAAACGCTTCGTCGTAGAGCACAGATAGAATCAGGATCATCAGGCGCGCAGCTGTCACGCGATGAGCGCCAAACACAAATCGCTCCGCAGAGCAGACAAGAATTCGACACTGAACAAGTGCAGCGGACTGCCGCTCCTCGATCTTCCGTTCCTGGCGGCACTGTAACTTCAGATGCCATCTTCAACGAGACTCAGGTGCTTTCGAATGAAGAGAACAGAATGTCTCTGTCTCCAACAGAAATGAGCAGCGGTGATTATGCGGACATGGCGCCATTGAGACGGGCGATGGCCTTACCCCTAGAGGAAGATCAGAATAATCGGGCCTTGCCGCGCGGCGATCATGCTGCTGAGGCTCCGAGAATGTCGCGGTCGAGTACGCTTTTTTCCCGTCCCTCATCGTCTGCTACTTCTTCTCCAGCTTCGCCCCTCGTGCGTGCGTCGCTGATACATCAGAATTCGGACGTCATCACGATGCAGCTAGAAGTGTTAGGGAACCGTCATGAGCGCAACGCTAGTACAGAAGAACCGAGGGCCAGCAACGACCCTGGCCAGCCACACTCAAACGGAGGGCCTATCAATAATCAGGCGATCTCAAATCTGCTTGACGATCTGCTGGCGAATCAGGGCATGAATCTAGCCACCATTGTCAACACAGATGCTCTAAACAGCGATGGACTTTCTAACATGACCCAAGGCATATCTCCAGGATCTGTCGACACAACACCGGTATCTGCGGAGAACCCTCAAGTACAAAGTTCGGGGGCAAATACACGCCCTATCGGAATTCCTACAACGAACCTTCAGAATGCATTGCCAGATAGCACAGGGACACCGGATCAGACCGATATGCCCCAGAGACTACCTGAAGTCACTCAGACCTCTGCGAATAATGTCAGCTCTGGAGCTCCTCCGATTGCTTCTGATGGCCGAGCACCACAAACTTCAATAACCGACCCTCATCCTATCGCCCATCGAGTCACAATTCTATCATCTCATCCCATTGATTCTCTAGCCTCTCACCTAGCTTCTCTAATCACGACTTTGATGTTCATTCCTCTCGAATCTCTTTATCTCCGCTCACTTGCATCTTCTTATCTATCAGCTACAGATGCTCCCGCTGCTCTTCGGTCAGATGTTCACAGCATGGGACTCTGGGCTAGTGGTGGTTCGCGATCCAGTACACTCATGTATTTTGGCAAAGTTGCATTGATGATGGGAGTACAAACGGCCGTGAATGCTAGTGTGTGGGGCATCATCTCCGGTGCTGCCATCAGAATTGGGAGAAAGTATTGCGGTTGGGGATCATTATAAGCAAATGTAATATAGTTAATATCGCCAATTCTCATGGCCAAATTACTGTCATGCTTGAAGGGGGCTTGCCTTTTGATCCACAATCTTATGTATGTGCGAATCCACACAGGCACATACGCCAGCTGTCGGAAGTTGATGCAATTTCTAATATTCCGGTATAACCAGATGTCCTCCATTGAGGCATTACGAGGATCGAGGAAAGATCTCCCTGACAGATACAAGACACCAACTGATACGAGTAGTAGGTTTGGACGATTTCTTTCATAATGATCATAAGAACTTAATTATACAGGATTTTGATCAGCATGTGTGTACCAACCCTGAGTGCGGGACATCCAAGCACACGCACAGCTAGCCAAATCCAGGAGAACCCTTATCCTGCGGTTCACTTGGCCGCAGCTTTTCCCTTGCCGTTCGCTTTCCCAGGAACCTTACGACGCTCCCATACCATCAGGTATCCCTCCTTGGTGAACAAGGTCTCACTTTCCGCCTTTTTGACGAACAGATCCTGGATCTCCAGCCACTCGGGCCCCCGCTGCTCGCCGGCATGTTCCTTTTGGATGCGGCCATTCTCCGCGGCCATGGCCTTATCGTGGAGTTGTACAAGCCAGGAGACCTTCTCGCTGCCCGCGCCTGCGCCGCTCGATGACGACGACCCACCACCACCGCCGCCACTGCCACTTCCACCTCTCGCTGCGTTGACACCCTTGTCCGCTGCAGCTTCCTCGTGAGCCCCCGGTGCGGCCACGGTGGGGTCGAGGATGATGTTGGCGACGAGATCGTAAAGGATGGGTTCGCTGTGCGGCCAGATGGCGGGGTTGGGTTCGACGTAAGGCGACATATCGAGGGAGCGCGGCGAGGGGAAGGTGACGATGGTGGGGTTGCGCTCGGAGACAAACCGGTTCTTGCTGAAGCGTTTGATGTGGAAGAAGAGGTAGGGGGGTAACGGGTGGAGGAGGCGGTGGCGGACGCGATGGGCCAGCTTCTCCGAGGCGGTGATGCCGTTGTACTTGTTCAGGAGGGTGGTCAGGGGCACCTGGGGGATGATGGATTCGCGGTTGGAGGATTGGAAGAGGGGGGTCGGGGGCAGGTCGAGGGTGAGGATGAGGAAGGGGGTAGTCTGGCTGTTGATCGTGCCGGATTCGGTGAAGACCAGGCGCGCGTTCTGGGTGTCGGAGTGGGCGGTGATGGCTTGGCTCTCGATGCGGAGATGACCCTGAAAGGCCGCGTGGACGACACTCGTGGGCGTCTTGGTGGGCTTCTTGGAGCCGCCGAGGGACAGGTGGAGGTTGTTGAGGAACCAGGACAGGAACTCCACCGGGTCGGATTGCTGGGTCAGCGTGAACCGCTTCGACGAGCGTAGCGCGATCTCCTGTAGGAGCTCGTGCGGGGACACATGCGACCGGAAGGCCTTGTGGTTCCACAGTTTGCGCACCAGCGTGCTGAACCGCACGGCGAGTTGGGGGGTGCCTGGTTGGGAGAAGTCGTGCAGTAGGAAATAGTTCCGGATGGGGAAGACATGCGCAAGCAGTTGGACCACGACGTTGAGGTAATCGTTGGCTTTGATATTATTCATGCCAACAAACCCTGGGGCACAGTATTGTCAGCTTGTTTCTCCTTCTGATGTTGGAAGCTGGTGTTGCAAGGGACGCTTCTTACCAGGCCTGTAGCGATTACCTGCAAGGTCGAACGCATCATGAACCTCTTTATCTAATTTGGCCACCTCTTCCTTGTTGTAGTGCGGGTCGACAACGTATTTGATGTCGTCCAAGCTCTTGTTCTTGA